CTTTGGTTTAATTAGGTTTTGATGAGGTCGTGCGCATGGTCCCCTCGTGACGGGATTAGCGCCCTTACAAGGGAAAGAGAAGAGCACCCTCTCCACACACGCACACGAAGAGGAGGTTGTGTAAACACACAGAAAGCTGGCAGCTGTCTACAAGCCAAGAAGTGGGACCTCACCGAGAATTGAATTTGCCGGCACCCTGCTCTTGGACTTCCAGCCTCCAGAGCTGTGAGAAATAGATGTCTGTTGTGTTGAAGCCGCACAGTGTATGGTATTCGTTATAGCAACTTGAGCAGACTGAGACATGGTATAACTTAGTAGTTACTTCGTGCTGCATCACCAGTCCAAAACTTGGCAGCTTAAAACAACAACCAGTTATTGTTTCTTGTGGAAGAATAATTATTTTTCATGATTCTAGGGCCAGCTAGGGGATTCTGTTGATCAGTGGTTTCAGCTGGGCTCATTGGTTTGTCTGCAGTCAGCTAATGGGCCTACTGGGGGCTGGTCTGGGGTGGCCACAGCTGATGACATAGTGCCCCCCAGTGCCTCATCCTCCAGGAAGCTGGCTCAGCCTTGGGATCCAGGTGGGGACTGGGATCCTGGAAGAGGATCCTGCAAGGCGTTTTGAAGCTTCAGCTCGGAACTGGTGTGACCTCACTTTCACCACATTCTGTCAGTCCCCAGATTCAAGGTGAAAGGAGACAGAATCCACCCCTTAGAGGAGATACCAAGGGACATGAGTCCAGGAGGCTAATCGAGCCCATCCTGCAGTCCATCTACTGTACTGCTGGTTTAGTTTCACTTTAGAAAGGAAGAATTTGGTTCAGAGAAGTGAAGTATCACAGGCCAGTTCCCAGACTCCCAAGTTCCTGCAGGGATGTGTCTGTGGGTCTGTGTGTGTTTCTGTCTCTCCCCCAAAGATGGAGGGATGGACGAGTTGAGAGCCGCTGTGCCAGCCTGTGATACTCCTTCCAAGATGCTACATTTGGGTTCTATGGTGGGAGCCACAGACCAAGTTGTTGGTATTCTTGGGCATAGCTGAACCCACACCTAGTGAGCCATCACCCAAAGGCCATGGTACCCCTGACCAGGCTGCTGTAATTTCTCCCTCTTAGCTCAGCCCCTCTTCTGGGTTTGTGACCCAGGTTGGAAGGAAGGGAGGGGTGGCATTCACAGCATGTGCAGGAATTCGAGGGTAGCTGCTTATCCAGGGAAGCAGGCAAATTGAAGGAAGCTTCAAGTTTTAACTCCTCCTTCCAGAAATGTAAACAACCAACTTGACATGTTCCTCCATGGCCCGTGTGTTTCAACTCCACCTGGAAGTCTCATTGTGTGTTTTACCTTCTTTCAGTGCACAGCTGGCCCCTGGGCCACTTGGATGTTTGGCTCCCAGTGTTCGAGGGTAGGAAGTAGTGACAAGATGGAGGACTTCCCAGACACCTTTGCATCACAGTGGCATATTCCTAAGACCATTCCCAAGCGTGGATGCAGGTCAGAGGGTAGTCCCCAAGAATGTTCTAGGATTGCAGATCCTGTCCTAGACCCACTGAATCAAAATCTTGGGGGCAGAGGGTCTGGGAATCTATTGGGAGCACCTCCAGGGGTTCTGAGGCAACAGGCTGTAGAAACCCTAGTCCAGAAAGCTCTGGCCTCTTCAGAGGGCATCTCCATCTGTCCTTGGCTTTGCTGGCAGCTGAGTTGGGAAGGTACAGTACTGTGCATGGGCTTGGTGGATTTCAGGTCAGAGGGAGCTGAAGAGGGTCCGTCATGGTGAGCCAGAGGGGTCCCTGGCTCAGTGACTAGGATACATTCACCCTCCCTGTTTGTAGGGGTATCTATCATGCCTGCCCAACATCTAGGCCTGTCCTTTTAGTAAATGCCCTGTCTTGGGCTGGATCCCTCCCAGCAACAGAACCTGAGACAAAGATGTGAGGGGAAGTAGTCTATTTGGGAGGTGACCCCAAGAAGCCCTGATGGGGGACAGAGAAGTGAGGTGGGGAAGGAAAGGCAGTCAGTGCATTAATGAGCAGCCCCCCACTGTGGACAGCCAGGCTTGATTCCCAGAGACTCAGGGAGCATGCAGAGGGCATCTTGGAGTTGGGCTTCCTGTGGGGTGTTTGTCAGCCGACACTCATCTTGGGTCCGGGGCTCCTTCTGGGGGGTAACTCCCTGGCACTTCCAGCCTGCCCGACACAGGGGCTGAGTATGCTTCAACCAGAGGTAGCCATCAGAAACTTGCAGCTTCTTGCATCCAGATGCCTCCCAGTGGTAATGAGAATGCCCTGGGAAGGTGGGCAGGACACAGAGAGCCGCGGCTGTGAGCCTCCCTCTCATTGCCTGTAGGGTACTACCTCTCCCCCATTCTCTATCCTTGTGGTTTGGCAAGTACCATCCCCTCCCTTCAAGTCCCAGATGGCATCAGTGGGTCAGAGATAGACATCTATCCCAGTCTACTCATGACAGCCCACCCTGGAACTAATGCCAGAATTTGGGGAAAGACACTTCTGCTGGGATTGCCCACCTGCCATGGTGTGGGCCACATGGAGAAAGAGAGTGAAGCCAACACGGACAAGAACCGAATCGAGTCGAGAGAGAGGACATCATTTAAGCCCCTGGATCCAGCTATACCTGATGCCAGTATCATTTTGGGGCCAATTACATGGACCAGTAAGGCACTGTTGTGTTTTTTGTTTTTGTTTTTTGTTTTGTTTTGCTTGAGGCAATTTGTGTTAGATTTGGGGGTTCTCTGGCAACCCAAAGAGTCTGACACCCTTAATGTACTGTTCCAGGAAAGGCACATTTTGGACTCTGGCATTTGCAGAGCTTAGATGGGACATGGACCAGAGGCAGAAAAATGTTTGAGGTTCTGATGCCTTCCTCTGGCAGTGAGTCGGGACATGTGTTGACACAAATATACAAGAGCTCTAGTCATCTAGCCTTGGGATTGCTGGTTGGGGATTAACATGGACTAGTTATGGCAGTGCAAGGATCTCCTCCCCATATGCCTCCATGGTAGTGATGGAAGGCCCCTGGGCACAGAATGTGGACCAGATATCTTGGTGGTCTGACTTGGAACCCCCAGAGTCCTGTGTGCTGGGCAAGTTGCCATGGTGACATGTGGCTGCTGGGATGCTCTGTATAAAACTTTAGCATCGGGAAAGACTCCAGAAAAAGGTTCTAATCCTGGGTTCAGTGGGTAGGCTTTCAAGGGCTCTTAGGAGCCCTGAAATGGAAACCATTCAAGGGTGCCCACAGCTTTCATTGTATTTGCAAATGGGATTTGTGTCCCAGAAAACTTTGGGCTCCGGGGAATTCTTAAGTCAGAGGTTTCAAGTTATGCTTTTTGGTTACCCACGTTCCTCAGGAATGCCTTGGGGGTGAGCACTGAGTGGAGGAGGGGAAAATGGGCTGGGGAGAAGTTTAAAAGCCGCAGCCACCTCTGGTGTCCCTGAGAGTAACCTGGTGCTTTTCCTCCAGCTCTTTCCAGGCCCTGCCCAAACTCCCAACTCTGGTGCCCTGAGACCTGCCTCTATGGAGACCTCAGAAGTCTGCTTTGGACCTGGCCCCTGGCCTCAGAGGAAGAATGGGTCCCAGAGGCAGCTTCTGAGCCACAAGGAAGCCCTGGTGTGTTTTGCCCTCTCTGGGTGTCACCCAAACCCCAGGGGGCTTCCTGGGAGGCGATTCAGCCCAGGACAGACGTCAGCAGTGATTCAGGGCTCAGATCTGATCCCACTTGGCTTGCCCCAGGGACCTCTGTCTTTCTCAACACCCAATGCATCCAGGAGTCAGCTGGCTGGTCCTCTGAGAGCTCTCGCCCATGGAAAGAGAAATCATGGAAAAGCCAGAGAATGAATGCATTCACTGTACCAAAGCAGGCAAAGGCTGCTTCCTCTCCCTCAACTGGATGTGTTGGCAGGGCTGGGTAACTGAAGCCGGTGTAAACAGGTGGGCCCTGTTCAGTCACACAAAAGAGCCACACCTCCTCTGCTCTCCCAAATGAGTCTTTGGTCTCCTGCTCCAAAACAAGAGAGAGAGCCTTTTCAGAATCCCATGATGTATGTGGCAGCCAGCACCCCAGCTCTGTGTCTCAAGGAAGCTCACAGGAAAGACAGGTGGTGCCCTGGTCAGGGCCCCAAACCCATGCCCAACCTCAGGACCGTGGATGTCTTTGGAAATAACGCTAGTACTTGGGTCAAACCCCAGAGAACAGGGCAGAGTGGCCCAGAAAGATGGACAGCAGGGCCCTCAAATTCACCTGGACAGCTGGCAGGTAGAATCCAGCAACCCATCCTAGAGATTGCAAGTTGGCAGTGCTGAGTGGGCCCAGGGATCTGCATTTCATACCACTGATGAACTGCACATTTATCTGTTTATGCATCCTATGCATATGCATTTGTTTGGATAGTGTCCCCCCAGCATTAATGTCCATGCAGAACCTTAGAAGGTGACTTTCTTTGACAGTAGTCTTTGCGAGTATAATCAGTTAAGGATCTCAAGGTGAAATCATACTGGATTTAGAGTGAACCCTAAATCCAGTGACTGGTGTCCTTATAAGAAAGGAGACACAGGGAAGAAGCCATGTGAAGACAGAGGCAGGGATGGGAACAATACAGCCACAAGCCATTGGGTTCTGGGAGCCCCCAGAAGCTCAAAGAGACAGGAAGTATCCTCCCTTAGTGTCAGGAGGGAACACCTGTCAACATCTTGATCTCAGACTTCTGGCCTCCAGAGCTGTGAGGGAATTAATTTCTGCTGTTTTAAGCTACCAAGTTTGTGGCAATTTCTTACAGCAGCCTTAGAAAACTACTGTATATCTGTGCTTTATATATAAAAATGTGATATTATGTGTGCACCCTCCCCCACCGCCAAGAACCGACTTGCAACACTTTGAAGGTGATCATCGCCCGTGTTGAAAATGCTTTTGTGTCTTATAAACAACAGCGGAGTAATTCTTGAACAAGCCCAGGGAGACCTCTAGGGTTTCAGGAAGTAGACAACTGAGGTATACCCAAATCTAAAACATTTAATGCTTTTGGTTAGAGCAAATGATCAGGCGAACAAGGAACATCAGGTTTTACTGACTAAAATAGAGTGTGTAGAACAGAATTAAAAATATTCTCATCAAACAATTCGTTTTACAGGAGAAGCAATTCCAGAGTGCAGGGTAGGGGGGAGACATGTCTCAGAACCCCCTTCTTTGAGCCTGTAGAGAGAACGTTTCTCCAGCTAGTTGGGGGAAATAGCACTCCAAATGATGCTCTTCCATTTTAGTGGATTTGCCCAGAAAACGCAAGCAGTTTCTAAATGGGAAATGAAGGAAATAATATCCTGACACCCGCTTTCCTCCGGATGCACATGGTGCTGAGCCTTCTGTCCCGTGAAAAACAGTGACAGGCGGGCATCCTCAGGAGGGAGTCTGGAGTGTTTGGACGAGAAGCCTTAAATCATCAGGATAACCTCTGACACTTACCGTGTGCTTTCTGTGTGCTGGGCACTGGGTTGTGGACTCCACAGCTGGTATTTTTTGTTCCACTACAGCCCAGTGAATGAGGTAGGCATGCCCCCATTTTACAGATGAGGAAACTGAGGCACAGGGGAGTTAAGTCACCTGCTGGAGGTTACACAGCTACTGAAAAGAAGGCTGGGGCTTGAACCTCACCATGTCTAAATTTTAAGACCCAGGCTTCTAAACACAGTGCATGGGCAGGGTCCTATTGCTAGTGGGTTGTTTCTGTCCTGCTCACCACAGGTTAATGAACAAGATAAAGAAGCCAAGCCAAGGAGCTTCTAGCCCTGGGGTCTAGGGAAATACGGAAGTCAGGAATTCAGCAGCCCTTCCTTAGACTTTTAATTTCAAGCCTCCCAAAGGTAGGAGAAGCCTGTTGATTAATGATGCTCCAGCATGGACCCCAGAGACCTCCAGCAAGTGAGGGGCACTGCAGAAGATGCCACCATGGCCGTCTGCTGCTTCTTTGGCCCAGCTCGCCTTGTCCTGGGGTGACCTGTATCCCACTGCTGCTTCTGGAGGAAATGTCAATCACAGGACCCCTAGCCCCATGGCTGGTACATCCGTAGGAGCAAGCACTCGACTGGAACAGGGCCAGCCAGAGCCTTCTGTGGGATGAGATGGAAAGAGAATGTCTCTCTCAGCCTTAGAGATTGTGAGCCCTGTGGTTGTAGGCTCTGGCTTCTGGCAGCCACCTTTCCCACCAGGTGGAAGAGAGGACGAGGCCAGTGTGAGAAGAGATGCAGAGCCAGGCGGCCTGGGTGAGGTTGAGAGGATGAACGCGTGGGCCTGGGGACACTGGGCTCCTGGATCCAGCAATGCCTTCAGCAAGCACACCCTCAGCCATCCCAGTTACAGGACCCAGGGAAAATTCCCTTTGTTGCTTAAGAAGTTTGAGCTGCAGCTTTCCCAAGGGAGAAAGGAGAGGGTCTGAGTCCCATCCCTTTTGTCAAGGCTGGACTGCTCAGAGCAGATCCAGGTAACAGCTGTCAAGCCACCTGCAACCCCAAGTCAAGGAAAGCCTTCTCCATCCTTCCCTGGTGCCATTCCTAGACAATTCATGTGTGGGGAATGCCAGGGAAGCCTACCCAAAAATGCTTCTAGGGCACACCTGGCTTTTAGAGGCAAGCTGGAAATTCATCTCAAGACAGGTGAAGATATCACAGATGCTCAGTGATAAATGTCTGGTGACATGGGAGCTATGAGAATGTCTCCAATCTCCCCCTACCTCTCTCCCTCATGTGCACACACACCTGGATGCAGGATGCAGTTTTGGGTGTTGTTCCTATACCTGAGGAGCAAACAGAAGTGGATGAGCCTCCCTCCCTGCAGGGAGAAGGATGTCTCTAGAAAGTGACTCCTTCCCTCTGCTCCAGGTTTGGGGTTGAGGTTGGTATGCAAGGAAGTCCTTGCTCTTTGCCCTGTCACGCTGAGACTGCATGGAGGCGTGGACCCCATGGTTGTAAACCCACCCCTTAGGCAAGGCCCAGTGACTGCAGGTGTTGGCCAGAGATGACCCCCCCCCCCCGGCTATAAGCAAGGCTATGAGAGAAGAGTAACACTGAGTCATTCAGCCCCACATTGGCCCCCCCAGGAGCCCTATCAGTGAGGTCCCTCCTAGGCTGATGTGAGTGAGTGATGTGGACTAGGTTGATAGACGGGTGAGGACTGGGGTGGCCCCCATCCAGGAGACACAGTTGTCTTGCCTTTACATGGCAACAGTGGCCCCATTTTGCCAATAGTCCCAAATGCCTGAGGGAAACTAGACATCCTGATCTCTGTGTGAAATGCTCTAATTTTTCAATCTCTCTATAGGCAAAAACAAAAGCCAGATCAGACTGCAGTCGGCCAGTTGGTAACCTGTGACTTGTTACCTTTTTGGGAGCCCAGGAAAGGAAAGGAGAAGTGTCCCCAAGCCCCAAGCATACCCAAAACTCTCCCATGCAGAACTCAGGGAACGTCTATCAGTAGCAGGTTCCAGGGGTCGGGTTTGCCATAGGGCAGACACAATAAAGTCACAGCCTCCTCCTCCCCGTAAGGGGAGTTCTGATGCCATGTTGAGGTCCTGGATCCAGCCTTAACTGAAGCAAGAGATCCTGGACTGGCCAATTACATGTGCTCATGACTGGTTACCCTTTTGTGTGGGTCTCTGTGACTCACAACCAAAAAACTCATAATTAAACTGCTCCGAAGAAAGAAAAGAACCTCCAGAGGAGTTTAAACACAGCTAGAGCCACTTCATCACTGCCTGGGCGTCTCCACCCTCCTCAAGTCAATGGTGGTCAGGTTTCCTTCCTAGCCAAGCTCTGGGAAAATGGATTTCAGATCCAGGGTGGGCTGCTCCCCACAGACAGTGGAGCCTGTAACTCATATAACTGTTCACCATGCATGTCTGGGACACAGGGCATCGCTAGGGAATCAGATGTGAACGCCAATCATTTCTGCCTACCCAGCATTCTTTCCCTCTTCTTCCTGTCGGGTACCCCAGTATTCCTAGAGGCAACCTCCTTATGATTTTCAAACCAGGTGGTTGGCTTCGGGAACAGGCATGTGGTCCAGGTAGGCCAATCACTGAAACCCCATCCCTGTATGGTGATTGGTCCAGATCGTAGACAGAAACCTACTGGCCAGTCTGTGTTCTTTGTTCCCCTGGCAACTGTGATTGGTTCAAGGACTAGTGTGGGACCCAGACGGACTGATTAGACTCAGTTCTGGGAGGTTGGATCGAACTTTGGGGGAGAGAGGTTCTCTTCCACAGCTGAGCTGGGAGGAGAGAGGGAGCCTAATGGTGATGGGGCCCTCTGCGTGGGGAAGGCACCTGAGAAGGAGGCTGCCCCAGGGAAAGAGCCAGAGGTGGAGAGGGGGTGCTGAGCCTGATGACATCCCTGAGCTCCCAGACCAGGCAGGCCCAAAGGTGGCCCAACCATTCCTTGGCTTTTCCTCACATGAAGCCCAAAGGAGATGGTTCTGTCTTGCATCCTGAAGAGTGAATGAGCTGGATCATTGCCATCGGCTCCAGATGCCCCCACTTAGTGTCCAGACCCAGGGCTGAAGCCCACGTGGTCCCAGACCTCACGGACACTTGAAACGTGGGAGGTGAGCGGGCTGCCCCACAGGGCTCAGTCCCAGCTATCTGGAGACCAAGGGGCTGCTGTGGGATTGGCCAGAAGAGGAGGAAGTGGTGGCACTGAGCTGGGAGAAGCCGCTGGTGCAGGATTCCAGGCTGGACATGGAGCCCCTGGGGAGGAAGGGCATTGTGTGCACATTACCTTCGGGGGTGACATGGCCCTGGGGCCCACGCACAGCAGTGGAAAAGCTGGTGATGCTGCAAATGAGGCCCCAGGGTTCTTTCTACCAGGCTGGTAACCACCCCAGGCGCACAGGGCAAGTGTAGAGCAAAACGCAAGCGGAGTTATGGTGAGAAACGAGGCTCCACCCGTTTTCCAGCCCCACCCCCAACCAACCCCCACACACAGAGCCCAGCCTGCTACACACCATTCAGGGGCTTCCCTGACCTGGGGATCTAGCATAGCCTGGGCAGTTTCTGACCCTATCTCTAGCCTCACCTCACCCCGCCCCACCCCTGCAGCCTCCTTTCAGCATCTCTGACACTTGCCTCCCCTGTCTGGGAACCTGTGAAGGTCTCCACCTGCTGCCAGAAGCACTTTCTCTGCCCCCCCTGCTTCCTCTAGTTAACTTCTACTCCAGACTTCAGAGCAGCGCTCTCCAGGAGAACCTTGTGCGATGACAGTTGTGTCCTACAGCTGTGCTGTCCACTGCAGCAGCCATCAGCCTCATGGGGCTACTGGGCACTCAGAATGTGGCTCGTGCAGCTAAGGAACTGTTTTTTTATTTTTGTTGAACTGTAATAGCTACGTTTAAATTGCTACCTGTGGCTGGTAGTTACCTGGTTGGCCAGTGAAGCCTTACGATCTGGCTATTCCAAGTGTGGTGTGGGGACCAGCACCACCAGCCCCTCCTGGAGCCTGTTAGAGCTGCAGACTCTCTGCGCCCCAGAGCTGCAGAATCTGCATTGTGACAACCCCCCCCCCCCCCCAGAAGATGTATGTGCATGCCACCTAGGTCTCAACTCCAGTGTCTCTTCCCAGGTACCTCCCCCACATCCCATGCCCACCCTGTGCCAGGCCCCTTGTCCAGGCTCTGTGCCAGGCCTGTGCCAGGCTCTGACAACACCCTGTGTTGAGGCTTCTGACACCTCCTAGCTATCTGACCTTGGGCAAGGACCCCAGGCTGGAATGCCTTCATGGCATCCACTGCTGCTCCTGTTATGCACAGGTGTGATCATGTGGTCTCCTGCTCCACAATGGCAGGCCCTATCTGTCTGGTCCCTTGGGGCCCAGCCCAATGCCTGCCTACTGAGGACACCCAGGAAATAGCCCTTGAACTGGTTTTCTTGAGAGGCTGTTGAAGGGCAGGGCAGCAAGGCTACCCCATGCTGACCAGACAGGCTGGCAAGCAGCATCTGCTCTGCCCCCCTCTAGGCCTCCACCTGCCCTCCTGGAGGCCAGCAGCCCCCAATGCTTGTGTCTGCATGTCTCTCCCCTGCACTGGTGCCCAGCAGCCAAAGCAGGCCACTTCCCAAAGAGGAAATCACCAGCCCTCCCAGGCTGTGGGGCTCTCTTGGAGTAAAGACAATGGCCCAGTATTTCTCACAGGGGGCTGTATGTGCCCCTACAATACTTGGAGCTCCACCCAGGATATGGATACAGATGTGACACCCTCCTGGAGCCTCAATTTGACTCCATGGTAAAGAATATAAAGCATTATTTTTAGAAGGACACAAGCATAGATAGGTCATGAAGCAGGATGCAAAATCACATTCGTTTTTAAAAGATAAAATGTAAGGCCTTGAAGAAACTCTCCATGTCCTCACCCTGTTTCATTTTTGCTATCAAGGGCTTACTGTATGCCTCGGTGAACGGCAGGCTTCCCCCAGCTATTTCATCTTCATGACAACCCCATGACCTAGGATTTCAGTAGTCCCCATGTAACAGATGGGAAGCCTGAGGCTCAGACAGCTTAAGTGAGTTGCCTGAGGTCACAGAGCAATCAGGAAGTGTTGGAGGCCTTAACCACTACACTTCCTGCCTCTCTGAAAGCAACACTTGGAGAGAGGTGTCTGTGCGACACTATTCTAGAATGTTCTAGAACATTCCAAATCCTTTTTTTATGGGTTTCTAGGAATACAGGGAGGTCCAAATAGGAGGGCCTTGGGCTCCCCTTCCCCCACCAATCAATCTGGTATGTTTGGCTTCTGTCCAGGATTTCATTTAAAAGGGAGATCCATGGGGCGCCTGGGTGGCTCAGTCGGTTGAGCATCCGACTTTGGCTCAGGTCATGATCTCATAGTCCATGAGTTTGAGCCCCACGTCAGGCTCTGTGCTGACAGCTCAGAGCCTGGAGCCTGCTTCGGATTCTGTGTCTCCCTTTCTCTGCCCCTCCCCTGCTCGTGCTTGGTCTCTTTCTGTCTCAAAAATAAATAAAAACATTAAAAAAAATTTTTTTAAAGGGAGATCCTGCAGCTGAGGCAGAGTTTGGACACAGTGTTCAATCTGGTTGCTCACACACGTGCTGAACCACTGGAGAATTTTAACAATACCAATTCTGGGGACCTGCCCCTGGATAAGCTCAAAGACAAGTGAGGGAGGTGAATCTAGTGCCCCCAGCCCAGAAGGAAGGGGCCTCAGGAGTGCTGTGGGCCTCGCCTAGAGGGGAGTCAGGACCCTTCCTGCCCAGGCTCTCCCTCCCCAGCCCCTCCTACCTGAAGTCCTCAGATGCCAGCACCTCGTAGTAGTAGAGGAGTTTGCACTTGGGGCCAGGGCTGTGCAGGGCCGTCAGGACATCCTCCACACCCAGGATGCTGCAGGCCACATTGCCAGGGGGGCTGTGCATTTGCCACTGGAGCAAGTAGGTGCCAGGCCACCGGGTCACATGGGAGCCCTGAAACACAGCAGCCGGGCCTGAGGCTCTGATCCTCCTGGGGACAGGAGCCCCTTACTAAACGGATCCACCAGCCAGTCTTCCTCTCAGGGCCTCCCGAAGTCATCCTTGGCCCCTCTGCTGTTACCCCCATATCCCTGGGGGCTGAGAGCCTCCCTCTAAATCTGGTGGGAGTGGAGGCCTGGAGAGGAGGGCTGTAGTTGCAGGGCAACAGGTGCGGTTTAATTAAATGCCTGGACTTTGTTGGGCTTTTGTTCTGCTGAGCGTGATTTGCAGATGAGGTCCAGGCAGGGATTCAGGCAGGGAGCTGGCAGGTTGGTTAGAGCTAGTTGAGGGCCTGGACGCTGAGAATGAGGGCTAGGGGTGTTGGTGTGTGAGGTGCAAGACAGTGTGCTGCTCAGGGAACCTTCAGAGAGATCTGCAGTGCTCATCAGAGCTTGTGTGTGCGGTACGGGTGAGAGAGCGAGCGAGGCCAGCGATGTGACACTTACAAGCACTGGGGAGTGGAGAATGCAGGGGGCCTTGTGTTCATGTTCCACAACGCATCTGAGTTCCATTCCCAGGCTTAGTATGTCTCTGCTGCATAGCTTCTGAAGCTCACACATCAGAAATCACTGGGAGAGGGTGAGGGATGCAGGGTCCAGGCCTCACACCCAGAGGGTCTGAGTCACCCCTCCCTGGCATGGGCCCTGGCAATCTGCATCTCTGACAAGAGTCCCAGGGATTCTGAGGCTGGGGTCCTGGGAGGTCCCCAGAGTCCTGGATCTGTCTGATTCTGTCTTTCTCCCACCCATCCCACAGGGGCTCCAAGGCCAAAGTCCATATGCAGTTCATCTACTTGGGTGCTCCCAGAACCCTGGCACACAGTGGACACTCAATCCTGAGTGACGAATGAATGAACAAAGGAATTCGAACCTGGATGCTCTCCCCTTCCCGGCAGACAAGGGGGGCTTCCACACGGCTGTAATCCACACCTAGGACCCAGCCCTTGTCCGTCAGCTGCCCGCCGGCCCTGGCCCCAGGCTCCTGGGGTCCAGGCTTGGGCACCTGCTTGCTGTGGTACAGGCTGAACACCACGTCCCCCCTCAGGATGTCAAAGTCCCAGGTGATGACTGACTCGCCCTCCAGAATCTCCACGGCAACCTGCATGGGGAGGGCACGGTCTGAGGGTCCGACCTGGGATCCCACCAGGAGTGGGGAGCCGGGATCGGGAGGTCAGCTGCAGTAGGTGCTGTGGGTGCCCACCTGGGTCTTCGTCTGCCCATCTGCCATGCTCTGCACAGCCCAGTGCTCCCCTGGGATCAGGGGACTTGGCTGCACCGCCCCTTTGCTTGTATCCTTCCCCGTAGCCATCCTGTCCCACCTCTCCTTACAGGTTTCTCCTCAGAGCTCACCCTCAACAAATCGCTAGCACAAGAACTCTTGTCTCAGGGTCTGCTTCGGGGGACCCTGACCTAAGACCCCACCCCAACCCGGTGGGCCCTCCCGGGCCAGGTCCCAGCACCTCATGGGGGGCCCCTCGGAGAACGCTGGCCGACTGGTAAGTCTCTCTCCACTGCCGCAGCTGGTCTGTGTGCTCTTGCTCCTCTTCTGTCAGATAGAGGGACTTGGGGACCAGCCCTCCTTCGGGGACATTACACTGGGGGACAAAGACGAAAGTAGCAGGTCAGGACCCAGCCGGCCTGGCTGACCCACAGAAGGGTACTTTGTGACCCCTGAAACTGCACTGACAACAGCAACCCCAAAGTGAGAACGGTACAGGGGCTCTCCCATGACCTCATCTCCAAAACCACAATGCAGTAGGAACTCTTACTATTTCCATTTCACAGAGGAGGAAAATGGAAGCCCAGAGAGGTCAAGCCACTTGCCTGAGATCACACAGCAGAAAGTGTCTGAGCCTGGGCACAAACCCATGTTTATCAGGGCCCCCAGGCTCAAGTCTCTTATTACCATGCAGGTTCTTACAGGCCCATTTGTTAAACATAAATCACATGTATGTACCTCAACAAGTGGAGAGATTCAAATTGGCAGAATTCCTAGGAAATGCCTTTTTTTACTCAGAAATCATGTATGCTTGGAGTTTGGTATTCTATTAGACAAGGAAGAGGGGCCTGCCCTCATCCCATGGCCAGAGGAGATAAGACAGTTGTGACCCAGGGTCACCCCTGCCTGTGTCATCTCAGCCCCAAGGGGAGGCAGTAAAAGGGGTCTGTGGCTGCCTCTCCTTGAAGTAGTTGGCCCATCTAACCATTCCGTGAGGATGTGGGTTGGGAATAAATCCCTTTGGATACACAGGCTCCGGGGTTCAGGCCACTGGGATGTTTGAGTCACCTCTCTCAGCAGCAGAGGGCGCAAAGTCAGCAGGTAAACTCTGACTGCTGCCTAGCGACGAAGTGCATAGGGAATACCGGGGTAAACTTTTGACTGGCCTGGTCTCTCGTCTTCTATAAACTTCCATCTGGATCACTATGTTTGAAAAACCAAGCTAAGGCCCCTCCTTCGGACAGGACTCACTTCTCTTTGGGGAAGTGTCTAAAACAAGCCTTGCCCCCCAAAAGAGAAAGCATGGCTTCTCCAGGTACCAGCACCCACACACATGACAGAGTGCCCCACTCCAGCCTTCGTGGCCCTCTGCAGCCCTGCCCCAGCAATCCCTGGCTCCCCCACCCCCACCCCCAGGCCACAGCCCAGGGCCTGCAGCCACATACTCACCACACACTCTCCCCCAAGGAAGTCGGGGATCACTTCTTTATCTAGGTAGTCCACGAGGCCTCCGGGGCCCTGGTAATTGCTGCCACTGTAGATGAGGAACTTCTGCCTGGTGTTTTCATTGATGAAGGGGCTGATCTGAAGTGGGGGAGATGAGACAAGATGGAAAGGTATTTTTGTTTTTTTGTTTGTTATTGAGATGTAATTCACGTGGCAAGGAACTAACCATTTTCTTTTCCTTTCTTTTCTTTTCTTTTTTCTTTTCTTTTCAAGTTTTATTTAACTAATCCCTACACCCAGCGTGGATGGGGCTCGAACTCACAACCCCGAGATCAAACGTCGCATGCTCTTCCAACCAAGAATTAACCCTTTTAAAGTGAACAATTCAGTGGCTTTATTTCACTCACTATGTTGTAGAACTACCACTTTCCTGTAATTCCAAGACTCTTCTTCACCCCAAAAGGAAACCCCATTCCTTTTACACATTAATACACATTAGCAGTCACGCCCCAGGCCCCTCCCCCCAGCTCCTGGAACCACCAGTCAGCTTTCTGTCTCTATGGATTTGCTTGTCCGGACATTTCATAGAAATGGAATCCTCCAATATGTGGCCTTTTGTGCCTGGCATCTCTCCCTCAGCATGATGTTTTTTCTAGGTTCATCCACCTTGTAGCACAGATCATTACTCCATCCCTTTTTATGGCTGAATAATATTCTACTCTTTGGATGATCCTATTTTGTTTGCCCCAGATGGAAAATACTTTAACACCGAACTCAAAACTGCATGTCAATCCTTTTTTTTTTTTCTCATGGCAACCCCTACCCCCCCACCCACGATGCTGGTGTGGTGTCTGACTCAACACACAGTTGGGGAAGGAAGGAAGGACTTAGCATTGGCAAGGTACAAGCCAATTGAGCAAGGAATGCTACAGGAACTGGGAATCCCACCTGTGTGGTCACTCTCCTTCAGCCTCCACCCGGGGAAGCAGTCACCTGCCGTCCTCGGCAACCTGGCTCCGTGCCACTGGCTTCCATCTGGTGTGGCCACTGGGCAGAGGAGGGGGTACAGCAGCAGGAGGTGGGAACAAAGAGAGAGGCCAGGGTACTTCTTCCCCCACTCCCTGCTGCCTCACTGCCCCTGGGCCCCGCCACCCCCTGCCACATTCTGGCTCTCCTGAGGCTTGGTAACAATGCCATCCCCTCCCGTGGCACCACCAACCCCCACCCCCACCCCCGGGTGTCAGGGATCACTGCAGGGTCTAGTCCCTGGGGCCTCTCCATCCTGCCCATACCTCTGCAAGGAGTTCTTTTATGTTATGTCCCCATTAAGCCATTGGGGTGAATCCCACTTCTGGCCAGCACCCTGAATGACTGGCTCCCACCCCTACCCAATACACATCTTCTTAGAAGTCTCCCAACAGCAAGAATTTAATTTTCACAAAGTTCAGGATATTTCAAGATAAAAAGCTTCAGTGGCAGGTCCTGCTCTCCAGCCCAGCCCCAGCAAGGCCCTGACGTGGCCACAGTGGCCAAAGAACGTTCTGTCCCAGAGTCTGCTCACATCGTCTCCTGCTGACAACCCTCCATGGCTCCCTACTGCCCCAGGATGAAGTCCCACCTTTGCCACAGCCTGGATTCAGCAGGCACTGGTCCCTGAGCACTTTCCCAGCTTCTGCCAGGGCCACCGGCCTTTTTGCTCCTTTTTGTTCCAGCCACCCTGCACTGGTTTTTCAGTTTCTCAGAAGCATCACGTACAGTCCTGCCTCCAGGCCTTTGTGCTTACTGTGTGGGTTGCCTGACCCACCTGTCCTCCCCACCCTTCCCTGAAGGACTCCTGCTCCTTCCTTCGGTCTCAGCCACTTGTTACCTCCTCACAGGGACCTTCCTCAGTTTCCCAGTCTAAATGGCCCACCTGCATTACCCCCTGCCTGATTCAGCCTCTCCACGAACCCTGTAGGCCTCATGCCCTAGTCATATGGAACCATGAAGCATTTCCTTGTGTGACATTATCTGCTTTGTCTCTCCCCACCCTGTCACAGTTGGGGAGAGATACAGTGGCTGGCTTGTTTACTCCAAATCCCCAGGGCCTGGAAAGGTGTCTGGCACACAGTAGGTGCTTAGTGAAACACTGAATCCACTTAACTCTCAACTCTCTATACTGATTGAACCTCAACTTATAGCAGCTCTTTCCAGGCTTTCTTGGGCACTGAATCCTCGGGGCACCGGGTATGTTCAGGGTCTGCAGGACTAGGGGTGGGGGGCTGACACTGTGCACTGGCCTGTGGACCAGTAGCAAAGCCCCCAGGCAGTGGTTTTCAACTGTCAGTGACAACCTGATAGTGGTTGTGAGATCAATTTAGCACGTGTGGCTAGGCAATTTTTTTAAATCTGAGAAAAAAAAAAATTTAATAGAGAGTACGTGCAAGCAGCAGAAAGGGGTGGTGGGGGGGAGAGAGAGAATCTTAAGCAAGCACAACATTCATTGCAAAGCCTGATGTAGGGCTTGATCCCACAACCCTGGGATCATGACCTGAGCCAAAATCAAGAGTTGGACACTCAACCAATCGAGCCAACCAAGCACCTCCATGATTAGCTTATTTTTAATGGAACGGAATAAAAGAGCAAAAAAGAGAGGAGCCTGGGTGGCTCAGTGGGTTAAGCATCAGACTTCAGCTCAGGTCATGATCTCACAGTCCATGAGTTCGAGCCCCGCGTCGGGTTCTGTGCTGACAGCTCAGAGCCTGGAGCCTGCTTCGGATTCTGTGTCTCCCTCTCTCTCTGCCCCTCCCCACCTCATGCTCTGTCTGTCTCTCTCTCAAAAATAAAACATTAAAAAAGAGAGAGAGAGAAAAGAGGATATTGCACATAGTTAATGTAACCTCGCTTGCGGATCTGTTTCAGGTGTGTGTGTGTTTGCGTTGGGTTGTAACATAACATGTATTTCTTACTGTGGATCTTAGGCAAAAAGGTTTCAAATCCCTGCAGCACAGGATCCCAACACTCCTCAGAGTCAGCTCACAGGAGCCCCAGGAATGCTATACAATTCTGAGTGTGACCCAGCGTCCACAAAGCAGGACAAGAGATACATAAATCATGGTCTGTCCATATGGTGGAATAGTATTCGGCCATAAAAAGGAATGAAGTACTGATAGGCTACACCACGATGAACCTGAAATCATTATGTTCAGTGAGAGAAATCAGATGCAAAATGCCTCGTATGATTCCACTTCCGTGAAATATTTATAACAGGCCAATCCATAGAGACAGGAAGCAGACTGATGGCTGCCAGGAGCTCGGAAGCCAGGAGAGGAAGGAATGCTGATGGTACAGGGTTTCCCTTGGGGGTGCTGAGAATGTTCTGGAACTAGAAGGTGGGATGGTTGCACAGCTCTGGGAATATACTAAAAACCACTGAATTCTATACTTGGAAAGAGTGAACCTGATGAGTTACATCTCAGCAAAGCTATTATTTAGAAGATATGTCACCAGGAGCGCCTGGGTGGCTCAGTCGGTGGGGCGACTGACTTCGGCTTGGGTCATGATCTCACGGTTCATGGGTTCGAGCCCCGCGTCGGGCTCTGTGCTGACAGCACAGAGCCTGGAGCCTGCTTTGGATTCTGTCTCCCTCTCTCTTTGCCCCTCCCTGCCTTGTGCTCTGTCTCTCTCTGTCTCTGAGAAATAAATAAATGTTGAAGAAAAGAAGAAGAAGGAAGAAGAAGGAGGAGGAGGGAGGAGGAGAGAGGAGGAGGAGAGAGGAGGAGGGATGAGAGGAGGAGGAAGAAGAAGGAGGAAGAAAAGGAGGAAGAAGGAGGGAGAAGGAAGGAGGAGAGGAGGAGGAGGAAGGAGGAGGAGGGAAGAGGGGGGAAGAGGGGGGAGGAGGGGGGAGGAAGGAGGA